CCAGAAAGCCATCATTAGAAAACTAATAAAACTGTTTTATCAGCTTTCAACTTAACTGCAAATTCTGATCATTCATGAACTTATAAATGTGGAAAAGAAAACACATGAAATTTTCTTGAGCGATACTTATTTACTTCGGTGAAAAATCTTACAATTTTTTTTCTTTATTCATTTGCAAAAGAAAGATTAACAAAAAATTAGCAATTTTTATTTTGAGTCATTGAGAAGTAAATAAGCTTCAATAGAATTTGCAAAATAGCAAGTAATTTAAGTGGAATTTAAAGAACTTTGAATAACACCGGAAAAGTTTTTTTCAGAATATGTTTATAAAAATTGATTTTATATATATTATATTTTATATTTTATATATATTTTATAGATATATTCCACTTCGAACGGTGCTGGTGAGCCATCGGTGCCGTTGTCGCCAAGTGATTCCATAGCAAAAATTTCTCACCATATTTTTCATAATTTTTCAGTCGGCCTTACCAAGAAATGTGCTCTCAGTAAAAGATTATCGCTATCATTCTTTTAATGTTTCTTCGTTTTAATCCAGAAATCTTGGAAATTCTTAAGAAAATAGTGAATAAACAAAGGCTAAGGCAAAAATCAGAAACGCTAGATTGATGTAGTTTTAATAAATTTGGATTTTAGTTTAAAAATATAGCAGTGAATAAGGCTAACTAATGAAGAAAGTAGGATGGTTTAAATTTAAAATTTCGCGAAATAATTAAAAAGCGGCTGATGACAGTAATTTGCATTAACTTTATCGAAGAAAGAATGAAATGAATGTTCGTCGAAGATAAAACTTCTACGACTCGAAAAAATTAATAAATAAATGAAATCCATGAAGAAGTCAGTTGTTCATTCATCAACTAATAACCGAACCGACATCAATAAATAAATTCGAAATTTGAATTATTTCATTCAAATATTTCTTATTCCATTGGTTCACATAATCATTTCGCTTTACAAAGGATTGCAGCAAAATTTTTGGCTTTAAAAATAAAGGATTTTTAATATATCCTTCAATTTGCTTAACATAGTTAATCGAATAATATCAAAAAAAATCCAATGAAAAAAATTTATATTACTGTATATATTGATTAAAATGAAGTATATAATTAAGCATAAAATTTGACAAATTTGTTTCATTTGATGATTTCTAGAAAATTGAAAATTGAAAATGACAAACAGAACCAATTGCAAATGCAGAAAAATTGAAAACAATTCGTGGCCAAGTTTTTTTTCCAGTGAATGTAAAAAGTAATTTCCAATTATGATAACTTTTTTAAATTTATATTTTATATTTATATTCATATCAAATAAAAAACGTTATAAAATCTTTAAAATTTTAAGCGATGCAACTCAATACGGCTTAATGCTATTGAGAAAGGAAATAGCTAATTTTTTTATTGTGGTCGCTTGATTATCATTCAATATGAATAAATTGGTTAAGGCCAATAAATTTTACTTAATAACAAAGTTATATATAACACATACATTATACAATGTGGGAATGGACACAATTCCAGAAAGGGAAGTGTGACTATTTTCAGGTACTTTTTTCCTTTGTACGATAGAAGTTAAAGTAAAGGAGTAAAGCTGTAATTATAAGTGAAATAAGTTTTATGAGTAGAACCAATTGTATTTCTGAAAAATTTTCTGGCGAAGTCGCCTCCTCTTAATATCCAATTAAATAGCCCTTTATGGAGTTGTAACGAAATCACCATAAGAACGGAAATTTGCGATTCGCTCAATCTTATGGCTGCAATACATTGCTGAGACATGGGAATGGAATATATTAAGAACTGCCTTTAACCACTCATATCTAAGATACTTTGGGTTAGCAGAGTGGATAAATCTCACATGATCATATCCACCGTTCAAATACCACTTATATTAACATAGAGCCATCATAGAGCGTTGGCTTCGCTGGTTAGGGTACCTTCTTCAACCAATCAAAATCTGGATTGGCACGGTCACGAAAGATTTTGAACGCATAGGTGGACCAGCAATATATGGATTTCGATGATGGAAAAAGGAATGGCTTCTATTATTGTAGGCGATGGCATCAAATTGCACAGCTTGGTAATCTTACCTCTGTAGCCAGCTCAGCCTAGCAATGTTGGGCATTGTTAGAAAAAGAAGAAACTAGCCATACGAAAGATGAATGCTGATAAAAGATTAGGATGAAGAAAACTAGACAGGACTATTTCAATAATTAAAAATGTATGGTAAAACCTTCTTTCCATGATTTCTCGTGAAGGCTGACGGATTTCGATATTCGAAGACGAATTATGGAATTGGAATCTTAAAGAAAATGAATGAATTAAAAGGGCACAGGGGTTACATAAAGCTTATTTAATACATATGTATTTAATACATATGTTTCTTAAAATTCGCATTAAAGAAATTGAAAATAGGCAATCGCAAAAACAAAAATATTATTAATTAATTATCAATGAAATAAGTCAGAACAAATGCGAAGAGCTAATTGAAATTATTTGGTAACGAATTAAGTACCATTTATTTATTTACAAAAAACCAAGTATGCCGTGAATCTCTACCATAACGATAAGCAGAATAATGATAGTAACCAAAGATAAAAAGAAACTAAACGTATAAAGACAAAATTCAAAAAGAAAAAAATTTCTGTCGTTATCTCATCGTCAAGGCAACTAAAAAAACTTATGAAGAATATCACTGAGCTGTTTTTTTCTTAAAACTTTTCTTAAAACTATTAGAGGGAGAAATGAGTTCTTAACTATTTTTGCAAATGGTTTCAATAATTTCAATCCACTGTATGTAGCAGAATTTAGATTAAGGCTGAAATTAAGTGAGAAAATTTTTTAAATGATTATACCATGTAAATCCTTCCATCTTCCAGAACTTTAGTAGCCATGGACTTCCTAAAACAAATACCACCTTGAAATGGAGAAACTTTTTGTCTCGAAATGACCGTGTAGAGTTTTATGATTAAAAGTTGCATAATTATTTCCTTCTGTGAAAAGAGGATTACAAAATTTCGTATTGATGTATATCACTGATAAAAAAAAGTGCTAAAGAAGTTGCCCATTCTTTGTAAAGGTCTTCTTGAGAATTATTCTTGTGCTTATAGATGGTTTAGGTTGCATCAGAATATTCACCATAAATTTCTTAACAGATATTTCGTTGAAAAAAATTTCAATATCATTTAAATAGTATTTTTTGGTCGAACTTTCGTTGCATATATTATGTATCACTCTGCTTATATGTGTTACTCTGCCTTCATCTACAAATACACTAACGAAATAGCTATTAAATTTATTAGCAACCGCCAGGTCGGTAGTAGTAATTATAGTAATTGGATTTCTTCCTCTGCACCTGAGAACATAGATTTGAGCTTAAAATTTAGGTTCCGGAATGAAACCCCATTAGCAGAATATAATATAAATTCTTTTTTGTGCAAGAAGTATTCGTAAAAAGAGATCTGCAAAAAAATTCAAACAATTTTTATGCATAGAATAGGTGTTTCAGTTGAACGAAATTTTTCATATTATTGTCTCTTCTCAGATTTTTTCATGGAATTTTGGATAATTATTTGGTTATATATAATTATTTTTTATATTATTTGAAATATATTGTTCTCTGTTGTTTAATAGTGCGTTGTTAAGGATTATGAAGAATGAAAGAAAAATTATTGTTAAAAAAAAATTTTTGCCCTATAAAATCGATAAAAACGTGTGGTTCCAATCTATTTTTACAATCCAAGAATCAATCAATGATCATTTTATAATCATTGTTGCAGAAATATAAGACGAGTTAACGCGATATTATATGCAAAATATTTATCATTCTTGATAGGCTGATTACTTAAGATTATTATAAGATTATTAATTTGTTAAAATTTATTTTGTTTCTGGTTATTGCCAGCAACCTTAATATGCCTAAAATGTATTTGCTGCGTAGCGGCAAATATGAAGCAGATTTTTTAAATTTCTGTTCATATTTCTTTGGACCAAGTTAAGATTCCAACAAGATAATAATTTCTATTTTATATATATATATTTCATTAATAAGTATTTAAATGATTCATAGAAATAATTATTCTGTTGACATTTAACATTTTTGATGTCATGAAGAAAAGAATAGAAAAAAGAAAAAAAAAAAAAGAATTTTTGATATCATGCATCAACATGAAATGGATCGTTATGCAGGTGGAGAAATTTCAGCTTTTTATCATTTCTCCAGTATTTTGGTAGTTGAAAGTTTTATTGAAAGTACAATAGTGCTCAATTAAAGGAATTAAAGGAAGTATTAGATGATAAAAAATTTTCATTTCGCAAAACAAATGATGAATCTTTTTTAACGAAAAAATTTACTACTGATTAATTTCCGATCAATCGTGAAAGATTTCATATTTCATATTTCATATTTAACTATTCAAAGTGCATTTTTAAAATTTTTTTACTAAAATATATACTGGAAATACAAATAAATATAAAATTTTATATTTCATTAGCTTTAAAAATTAATTATACATTTGACTAAACGCTTGCCTATTAGCACTAGAAATTTTTCCATGTTATCACTTAATAATCTGCTAATATAGTGACAAAATTTTTGCCTCGTAGAGACGAAAGTGCAGGTGGTCGCTGGCGTAGCATCGATCTTTTGATGACAGGTGATTATTGGGCGAGCGAGCCGAATCACTGATTATCAATGGTAATTGATATATCTGAGCTATTAACCATTCGGCTAACCTGTCTCATACACATAAACAAAAAATAAAATCCGTAGTTCTATAGAAATAGGATTTGCCTCGGATCATGTTTCATTAATTATGTGTGAATTATGAAATGAAAGAAAAAAATTTGGGTAATTAGAATTCTATAGCACATTTCAAGAAAAAATATTATGTTAAGCAATTTTAAATCGAATATAACGGATAAAAAAGGTATTATAGAGGAAGATTTATGAATTAACACGATCAAAAATTATGATTAAAATGATAATAATCACGAAATGATTCTTCCATAATGATCCATTAGCGCAGTGGTAATGCCATCGCTTGCAACCATACCGCTTTTACTAATGTGAACGGATTTTGAACCTTGTTTCACGTATGCTTTTCCATCACCCTCAATTGAATAAATCATAAAATTTTACAGAAATTATTTGCTGAAAAATATGGCTGTTATGAGGGAAAGTGAAGTCTAGGAGATTGGAAGTGAAAGAACAAATGGAATAGTTGAAGTTTTTTAAAATGTTAGGTTTTAGGTTCTTTAGGTTAATTTTAGGTTTTTTAAAAAATATTATTTAAGTATTATTTAAAACAATAATTTCAAGGAATCTACTGAAAAGAATATTTCTGTAGAGCTATAAAAAAAGTTTTTGATTTATCAAATGCAAATCAGTTAATTCAGAAATTTAAAGAGCAACTTATTAATGAAGCCGGGAAAATATAATACAATCTTTCATGTAAATTTATTTTTAGAGAAATGATAGAAAAATTTTTATACTTGAATTGCCATATCAACTGCATCAGTACGAACACGAATTGTCTTCTTGTATGGTGAACATTTAATGCAATTTTTATAGCAATTTAATCGTACATCACCGTTTTGCTTTTGTTGAATACGGATTCCTAAAATAAATAATTAGGATAATGTGGCTGAATTGTGCACTGAAGTTATCACTGCAAGCATTCGACTTTGACTAGTGTTCCTAATGGGAATAAATCTGTCCCTCAATTTCGTTTTAATTTGACTCTATGGCGGAAATGTCTCACTGCAATAATCAGCAATGATGCAAAAGTTCAAAAATCTAAAAGTCTAAAAAAAAATGTGCCAACCAATAACTAATAATTTTTTATTGGGAATATTTTTCTGAGAATGGTAATTTTTTGCTGTTCATTAATGTCTAAGGAAATTAGAAAATAAATTTAGCTGTGATTGCCGCGGCAAACTGCAGAAAAGATTTAAAAATTTCTCAAATAGGATGAAACTGATGAAAATGGAGGTAAAGAAAGGAAATACTTTTCTTTGTTTAACTGCTTTTAGGATTATACCTTTAGGCGGAGGTGATTTTTACTTGATTTTGTCTGATTTTTGCTTATAAGCATAGGGATTAGAGGTGAGCCTACGATAGGAAAAATATATTTATTTAAAAAAAAAAAGGAAGAAAAAATTTATCTGAACTTATAACTTTGGTTTCATGTTGCCAAAATATATTCAACACTTACCATTTATGTTCAATATTAATACTCCATCTTGACGCCTAAAATGTGCTTTTTGTACTATTGCATTGCAAAGTTCTATGAACTGAAAATTTTTCATGTCCAGTTTGCAGATGTTTAATTTTGAAAAAAAAACCAAAAAAAAGTTTGTAAAAAAATAGATTTTCTTAATAAAGAAAGAAATTTTTGTCTAAACCAATGAAGAAATTGGGAATACAAAAGTGGCCTTAATGGCCTTTTATTACTGTTAGTTATTCTATTATACCTTAAATTTTTTTCGTACCTTAAAACAATCGAAATTATTACCTGAGGACCATTCTGTGATCCATAAAATGATTTAAGTGTAAAATCGCAATCAAACTTTGGAAATTGTGGTGCATTAATCATAGCTGCTGCACCACCAGTAGCACTGCGACAAACCAAGTAAGTAACAGGCAAATGAGACATAGTGAAGAAAAGGCCCACAGAATCGAATGCAGCTAATTTCTTCGATAAATGTACTGATAAAAAATATACTAATGAGTAGTAACAACATGACAAAGAATTGAAATACTTTGGATTTCGCATTTAAAAACATGGATAAAGCAGTTATTTTATAATATTTGTAAAATATTGCTTATTTTTAAAAAATTACAATTGGTACGAAATGAGCAGAATATTTTTCCCATTCCTTGGAAGATTTGAGAAGTACCTTCAAGGATACACGACACATTATCATAATTATGCATCGTCGCCTGAAAAAAAGCCAATGAAAAATGAATAAGAAATTACTGGAATTAAATAAATTTAATTAAAATTTTTTCATGATTTTCTTTCAAATATAATATTTTTAAATCGAGAGGAGCTTAGTGGGTTGTTGTCTCATTTCGATTATGCCGTAGTCTCGGTAGAAATAAATTTGAAAATCTTTCAAAAATCTGGATGGTTTCGGTAAATCACCTATAATTCAATCACTAATTGACTCCTTCGTGGAATTTACCTGGTCTGATAAGTTAGTTATTCGGAAATTATGAGTGCCCATTAGAAAAAAATTCGAGATTCGAGAAAGAAATAAAAAATGAAAATATTCTAGTAGCTAAAATAAAAAATAAACTAAAATTTCGATACTAAAAGGTAAATCAATCATATTTGTTTTTTTTTTATGAACAATTTTTCACTGTATTGAATATTTAACATTTTCGATTACCTTATTTATGTAAGTCTGAGCTATTAAGAAAAATTTACATTTCTGCGTTCAACTAAACGCTAAATATTTATGTTGTTATTACAAAATGAAAATCATTGACTTACTGCGAATTTATTGTGACAAACAACGCGAATAGTGCGATCAACTGATATCTAAAATAATAATATCTGAAATATAATTTTTTTCGCAAAATTTTCGCAAATTCTTTCCACGTTGTTTGAAAGCAAAGCAATAAGAGCAATAAGATGAAAACCTGGTATAAGATTATGCAAATAAAATTATTGAACAAGGCTTTACTCAAAATATTCTCAAAATCCTTATATTTCAAGGTTTTTAGAAGGAATCGAAGCAGTTTTAACCAGATCATTGACTAGAAATAAATAAAAAATACCTCTACAACGACACCCATTTCAAGCAAAACACTAATCGTACCGGTTGGTGCAACATAAACCATTGGATAATATAAGGTTTTATTTGTATTCATATTTCTACAATCGCCAGCTTCATTTTTTATCTTATTCCTTCCTTCCTCTAAATTCCCTGAAAGTAACTGATTGGCATTACTAAAAGATTAAATAAATAACTGAATTTTTCGCACAATTTCGCAAAAATACTAAGAAAAAGATGTCTTCTCAATGCATAGATAAAAGCAAAATAAATTCTGAAAATTTCGAGAACTTTTATAGAAATTAGAAGTAAAAATCCTTGAAATTAGATTAAATTTCAATTCGAATATTGCCAATTTAATCTACAGTCAAAAATATCTAAAGCAAAATCTCATGAATTTCTCATGAATTTGGAATATCGAAAAACTAAACCTTTATTAGCAGAAGTTGTGCTGGAAACTGTTGAAAATGTAATGAAACCACTAAAATAAAAATTTTGGCTGATTTGTATTATTAAGTTATTAATCTAAAATTATTTGGCATGTTATACTGCAATGAAAGGTAACAGAATTTATTTTCTAATTTTGTTTAGAAAAGAAGGGATTTTATGAAAACTGAAGTGAGATGGTTAAAGTTGATTTTTGAAAATGGGATTATGAAGTTTTAAATATTGTTAGGCAATTTGGCTACCTCTGACTGCTAATTTGGTTGGAATGATTGTTTTTCATACTCATATCTTTTGACTTGCTACCATCATGTGGTTGATCAGTGGGAAGCCGCGATGAAACCTGGTTAAACGAAAAATTAATTTGTCAGTCAAGGGAAATCAGCACATTTTTCCCATCATCTTTTGAAATATCTAAAATGTTCAGAGAATTTAAGAGGAAATAATAGATGCCACGTTACGTTTTTAAGACCATTTTCCAGTGAAATAGTTATTGTCTCATTAAACGTCTTTTTCTCACAGTCTTCCGCTTCTTCTTTGTTTATTGCTTCTATTTGCTGAAACAAAATTTGGCTATTACCTGCTCGAAAAAGTTTGATAAAAATTGAATAGGACTCAAAAAATAAAGTTAACGTTACGAAGTTGGGATAGTGAGGAAAAATTTTAAATTTTATCTAAAGGAGCGATGAAATTTAAAAATTTTAAGCAAAATTGCCGCAAAGGGAGCTAATTCCTGGCTGTCCACTTTTCCATTTCTCTCCTTGTTTTGAATTTCAGTGTTAAATTTGCGTTTTCCATCTAAAAAAAGCTTGATCGATATATTTCATTAAAATTAAGATTTTTAAGATTTTATATATATATATATATATATAGGAAATTTCAATCAAATGAAATTCAGACCATCATTCTTTAATGATCGAAAAAATTGCGAATCCATTCCTTCATCGGCTAAATAATTTAAATAATTTAGTTTTTTTATAAAATGAGGCATTTTTAAAGAACAACAACGGAAAGTCAGATAAATCGTAATTGTTAAGTCTCATTTATACTGAATCAATATTTATTATTCTAGAAAATAATATAATTTAGGTGAATTTGACAAAAAATAACTTTTATCTCTACTAAAGATTATTTTTATCGATGGAAATTAATGTTAATTTATGTTAATTGTTAAAGAAGTTATCAGTTGAAATCTTCCGTTTTAATTATTAAAGATATATTCATAATTCTTTAAGATTTTTTTAAAGAATTTTGAAAACCTGTGGATTCCAGATTCATTATTTGCAAAGCATTTTTATGGCTAATCAATAGCAAATATCATTGTTCTTGTATTTTATAATTTCGTATTATTTAAATATTCACGCTAATTATATAATCCCCCCCCACTACAAATTCAGATAAATCTCGGATTTGTGGGGATTAATAGAAAAAAGATAACATTTAATGTCGACAAAATATAAAAAGATTATAAATTCTATACCATACATCACTTCATAAATCACTTTTGCAAATTAAAATTTTTCCTAAAACCGATAGTAAAAATAGTAAAAATTCCTTGCCCAGTTGCCCCTAAAATTTGCAGAAATACAATGCCAAAAAAAGTAGACTACCAATTCATTTGTATTTGTGGAGCGAAACGACATAAATTACCACCGTTTTACTAAAATTAACGTCGAAAATAAATGAAAATAAATGAAAATAAATCGAAGGAAATTTGACGTGGATTTCTTATGCAAATTTTCGAAATCATTGCAAACTGCAAATTCCATCTCATTTCTATACATTTTACTTATCTTTCAATAATTTACCATGCAAATATCCGCATAATCTGTGGATAATTTTCAAATAAAATAGAATAATTTATGATACTGTGTGCAGTTCGTCTGCTTCAATACATGACCTAATGTTGTTTGTTGTTTCGAATCTAAGGCACATGGTTGCATGAATGACATTCATGACCAATGCATCACCAGACGCTCTCCATTTATTTCATCGAACAGTTTATTTTTGTCGAATAGTTTTATTTTTATTTTTATCTTAATTTGTTTAAATAGAAAATAGAAAATTTTGGGAAATGGGCATATTGGAGGAAATATTTGATAAATACTTTTTTCATTCAGCTTCATCGAAGCACAATAGATATTGAAGAATTTTTCATGTTTAATGTTTCTCCAAACTATTCGCTCACGAGATGACTGAACCTGCAATTAATTTCATAGAATATTGATAGGTTAAAATCGAACCGCAACCTCCAACAACCAATTATACATATATATATATATATATATAGGTCTTTTTTAGGAAAATGAGATGAACTGTCAGAGAAATCACAGCTTTTATAAACATTCACAATACTTTCATAATATTTGATAAAATAAATTGAAGTAAAATAAATTAAATATTGTTCGTTCCTTATTTTCAATTTTCTCTTTTATTGGTCGTCATACGATTTGCAACAATGAAAATAAATTAAATAACTATAAACTAATAACTATAACTATAACTATAAACTTCGTTAAATTTCTAATTTTCTGAAAACGAAAAAAAATTTAGTACACATGGAATAATTTTACCAACTCAACGGGGATTATGGAGTGGTTTGGTTTGCTTTGTTGAACGTCGAGCGGCACTGCTTCGATCTGGCGTAATGTAAATCAGAGTGGCATCTCACTAATATTTCTCTCAAGTAACTCTATGGCAAAGAGCATCTAACTTTACTTAGTAGCTATATGGAGCCAGTCAAAAATACAAACGCATTTTATAAATTATTATGTAACTGAAAATTAACATCTAATTATGATACTATAATTGTCTATTCACGTAAGAATTATGATATTATAATTATCTATTCACGTAAGAAGTTTTCAAATTTTTCATGAGCATTCAACTTAGTTAATTTGTAAATAGATCAAAAACTAGGTAAGTGCAGTTGGCAAACAAATATTTTAACCAACATAGTATCGACATGCATCAGAAAACTATGGTTAATATCAACTTTTCACTTCAGCAGTTATGACGGCGACCTCCATTTTAGGAGCTATAAAATCATCTTTGTTGATTCTCCATAAGATAGAGAATGATATCGATGCGAAAATTAGAAAAGATGCTAATAAAAGTATTTGCCAATGAAGAGTTACCAAATCTGAGCCGAACAATATACTGGATGTTGCCAGTGACTAAAAGAAATACTATAATAATGACTAAAACAAATTAAAATTAATAAAGTTCAAACTTTCTTGCAATAAAGTAAGAAGTCAGATAGAAAGAAATTTGCACATAGAGCGAAGCGATGTCCCTTATTTGAAAATTTGGTTCAAAATTTATTTTATCTTGTGTTAAGCTAAATTTTAAAATTTTTAATTGCAAAAATATTGAAAAAAGCCAAACAAAAATTAACATCTTTTGACAAATACATTACTTGAAAAAATTTGCTTAGAGCAAATGCTTGTGAACTATTATTTTGATAAAGATGGGTTATTACTGTTGTTCGAATCGTATTCCAAAAGCTATCACCGACTGCAAGCAGAAAACTAATAATCAACCAACACGAAAGGCTGAAATTGGCTGAATATAACTTCATCTCAGCATTCTTTATATACCTCAGTTATTTTAGAAATAAATTGTTAGCGAATGCAAAAAATTTAGCCTTGGTACGAAAACAGTTGTCGAAGTCGTTGGATGGAAATTTGCATCTGATGGAAATGTAAGTAAAACGCCAAGATATGCACATGAATGAAGTGGAATAGCCAGCAGCATCGTAGGCATGAAACCAAAACCTTCAATCCGTTTGCTCATATAACTTACAAAAAGTCCAGCTGGAATAGAAATTCTCTTTAATAATTTTACTTTTCTTTCCATGAAATCCATTGAAAATATATTTTACAATATTAAATCATAATAAATTTTAAAGATTTATAATATTGTTATGAATTTACTTATAATGTTACATTATTTATTATTTATTACTGCGCGACTCATATTATTTACATTAAATCATCTAACTATACAATTTTTTATAGATTCAAGTAATATTTACAGTGTTTTGTTTCCAAGCTACTGAAAGTTACTGAAAATAGGATGTTTTTACCTATTATTTCTCCACTACCTAAAACAATAGCATAATAGGCAACAATTTCATTTCCATAACCAACGATAAACTTCGAAAACAACATAGACGATGGTAATATAGACAAATAAAAACCAAGAAGAAAGCCAAGATATAAAAAGCATATTGCCAGTAGCCACATGCGTCGATCAAGTAATAATGAAAAAGTCTTTTCTATAGAAAAAACCTGATATTTAAACCAAATTACATAATACTTATTTCACAGTTTCTTAGAAATGAGTGAATTTTCATTTAAGCACGTAATCCAACAATATTTGTATAAAATCGATTGTAAGCCTTTATGAATTCAACTCTGCTGTTTGGTACCTATTAAAAATTATTATTTTTAATGTATAAACTAGATTTTACGTACCAAGATTTTTTAAGAAATTGCGCGAAAGTTGAAATTTATTGACGGAATAGTTTGGCAAGAAAAAGAATAATATATTGGACATAACAGTAGTGATTGCAAGTCCATAGAATATATATCTTTAAATATTGTATTTATCAAAAAAACTGAATAAATTCTCGGATAATATTAAAGGGGCCTAGCCCTATTTTTATCACTTTCTTAATCACTTTGTGGAAAAGAAGAGAAGAAGCTGTGATAGCCAAAGTATAGAGTTAGTTAATGCCGTTGGATGAAAGGGAAATCTGAGAAAATCGTTCTAATTTTTCAAATTTCGGTTATGGAATGTATAGAATCATGAATGCTCAATTCTCAATCTTTTTTCGGTCTTACTTATTGAGCCTCATATAAGATAGGAATCAACTGATTCAGTAGGGTTCAATTCAATCAATCATTTAAAATTCTCCATGCTTCATTCTCCGCTAGTCATCTCCTTTATTTAATTTCTGCTATTTCATTTCCATTCCTTTTTTATTTTTCGTTATATGAGATAAATAAATTAATCTCTCTTGTTTATTACAAAAGATTTTGAATTTTTTAATAGAAATATTAAAAAATATTAGTAAAATATTTGGTATTAGTAAAATTTAAATTCCCTATAATTCTGGTAAAATTAAGCAAATGCCACAATAATTTAAGTCTTTAAGTAAAATTACCCGATGACTTCCATGGTTAAGTATTTCATTGTCTTTGTTTTATTCAAGATAATCAACATGATTAATCCACCAAATACAGAACTGCAATAATAAAATAATTTATTAAATTCATAATGTTCCATGTTATTACTTATAAGCCAAAATAGAAAATTAAATTTAAAAGATGAAATGAAGTATTAAGCAGACTGAATCCAGTATCCAAACCAGTTAACTTTCCATTTCTATTAATATTAAATGAAGAAAGAGAGCGCGTCCCTCTATTTGTACGGAGCTTTCCACCGCAATTTTATTAATTCAAATAGGCTATTCACCTAAGAAAATTAATACTCCAGTGTAGGCCAATGTTTCTTGAAACATTTCCAGTCGACGTAATTTGTTTAATATATACCCCATGACCATTCCACAATACTATAATTTATAAGGTAATTAATGAATTTTTAAGAACAGTCGTTACATGTAAACCTTAAAAATCTCGATTTTTCCAAAAATGAAAGATCCAGCGGGCAAGCATTTAAGATGACTTTTTCAAGTTTTTTTTCTCCAACTTAACGAATTAACAAATAATGTGCAAGTAAACATACAAGCCGCAGCTGCACCCATAAGGCTTGACATTACGTAATACAAATAATTATTGACCAATATAAAAAGAAGCATAAATAGTGAATATACTAAGCTTGCAGCAAACATACTCCATTTAGCACCAATTTTATTCACGATGATCGGTGTAACGAGAGTCATCAACGTGAAAGATAGATAAGTAATCGCCATTCTTAATAACTTTTTAATAAACAAACAAGCAAATGAGGCAAAGTGATAAATAAAAAATTTTGAATATTTCCGGTCCAGCTGCTTATGCATAAATGGCGATTTGAGTTAAAGATTTGGGAGATGTAGAAAAATTTTAGGCGTCTATAGGTATTTAAACACTTTTCTTCAAGATTTTTCAATACGTTGGTTACCATGTATTTTAATTAATCTTCGATCGTGACCATATTTATAAAGTTCTCATTCACTTCAATTTGGGTTGTTCCTCTGGATTTCCCCAGAAAGGGGCAGAAACAAATGACGGCTAATATCGCCAAAGGAGTGAATCAAACTAATAGTAGCGCGTGTTACTAAAAGAAAAAGAAAAATCCCTAGCACCTTTCAGAGATATCATAAAAGAAAGCCTTTTTTCTTAGCCCGCTGTGGGTGATCGTGATTATCCTCAACCTCGGGCCCTTTACCAGAGGTCTAGGAATTGAGGGTTTGTTTCGATGAGCATATATTAAAATTGGAACAATGGAATGCTGGAATCAAAATCTCCAGAAAAGAAACTTACAGCGAATAAAATATAATTGTTCTATCCCTTTTTTATATTAAAATAACTCACCCATAGTAACCAGCATTGTTGTTGATTCGTCCAGGATGAAGAAAGGCAATTGAATGCAGGGCATTTTCAGCAATGAAAGCTTGAGCGTCAAAACCGACAAATACCAACATAAAAGCTATGCCAAGTTGTATCACGCAAAATAATTCTTTATCAAAACCGAATCGTTTGGCTAATTCATCAAATACTTGCTCGAACATTCTGAAATTAAAAAAAAATTTGGGCGGACTTACTTGCTTATTAATTATTGCTATTTCTTAAGAAAATCTTAAAAATGGCGATTTTTTAAATATATTAAAAAATAAAAAACCATGGTAAAAAAATTTGCATAAAATTGTTTCAACATTCATAATGGAGTCAAAAAACGAATAAAATTCTCCCGGTACTCTGAATCCAATAGTTACTGGACAACTGGACTCTTGATCACAAGTATTATTTCTCTCAAAAGCCAGCAATAGTTTGAGAAGTTGATAAGCAACAGATTAGGTATGAAGTTTTGAGACAATATAATGAAAAATTAAAATAGAAGCTCCACGGAAACTAAGTAAATGGTTATTTTATTGCTAAATATGGCTAGAATATTGGTTCCGCTGGTTTTTAGAAGAATTAAAAGTTGTTGCCTTACCATAGGGCTGGAAACCAGTCTTTGTCACCATTACGGATCCTTTAATAACAGATTTACCCATGTTGACGCTTATTTCTCAACACGATAATTTAATCTAAACCACTTGCAACTGATCGAGAAAGATTTCAAAACTTTTTTTCTTTTTCCAATATTTAAAGTTTTAAAATTAAATTTAAATTTTAAAATAACAATTTATGTGAATTTTGAAAGAATTTCATTTAATCCAACATATATTCAAGCTATATGTTGTTTACAGAGAAATTTTCTTGGGTAATTGCAAATTTTTATTCAGAAACTGGAAATAAGCAGGCTAAATATGGATAATAAAAATTTTTACAGCTCTTTTCAATTACCTTAAAATTTATTTTAGCTGAAATAGAGAGGAAAATAAGTAAAAATAATGGAAATAAATTAACAAACAAAGTAAAAATTAAATGCACCAATGATATCACAAAAAATATCGCCGAATCAAAATTGATGATAGTTAGAGTCTATTTTCGAAAGAAATTAAATTAATTTTGCTTTTAATCGTCTATAACAAATCATTATTTAAAATATTTTGAAAATATTTTGCTATCGTTACGATTTAATGGCCGGTTAAATAAATAATCCTAGGGAAAAGCCCTAAAAAGTTCTTGAAAAAAGTTTTTTGGTGACAATTAAGCTATTCTTCTTATTAACCATTTCTGGTTTGGCTCCACTGACCATTAGGATATAATTTTTCTCAGAGAGAGTAGGATACGTAAATGAGGAATGAATCCTCATAACCACTCGAATTTTATCTTCAATAGGATCCTCGCTATGTCATTAACTCAAATTTTTCATAAATTTATAATTTTAATTTATTTTTCATAAATTTTGTAATTTATTTGTGGATTTTTTAATCTAACAGGTAAAAAACATTAAAACATTTGCCTAAATTTTCTATTCAGTATTTTATGAAAAACAGTTGAAAAAAACTGATGAATTATTCAGTAAAAAACTCACTGAATTTCAATTTCAATCTTATCGAAAACCCATCACAGTAAATCTTCTTGCAAAACTGGTTACTTTTACGGGTGAAATGCACGTGAATATGTGGAATATATTTAAATTATGAATGTTTAGCTGTTTCTTTTTAGTAAATATATTTTCATTTTCACTTTTATCTTATAAAAAAATAAAATCGAATGGATGGACATATATAATGAGTATTGGATTATTATACGAATGCATTCATCTCTTAACAGCTCGCATCATTGCTGGTTTGGTCGGTTCCATCTCCGATTAGGGTTTCCAAGCTTTCCCATGCATAAAAACAATTGAAGCCACTCGTTTTTTATTGCTGGGACAATAGTTTCGATTATTATTTTAATAAATTTTATGAAATAACTTTAAAAAAAGTTTGCAAATAGTTGTAAAAACAATTGCATAAATTGTATAAAAATTGTCATTAGATCACACAGTAAATCCTTCACTTTTATGAATGAAATTCACATTATTATAGTACAATAAGCCCTTCGTATAGCCATTATAATATATTTTAAATTTTCGCTACCTTCAAGAAATTCAATGAAACCCACATGTGTGGTTTTTTTCAACCGATCATACTTGTTGTAGTAAAGTAAGGAATAAAAATGAAATGTCTTTTTGAAATTTCAACATTTAAAGGAGATGCTAATTTTGAAGTGGTCAGCGACTCATAATTTTACAATTCTTTTACAACACGCAAAACCAGTAACGATGTTGATGAATTGCCGTTGGTTTATGTAAAATAATAAATAATGATTTATTGTAAAATTATACTTATTGTACTTATTATTGTACTTCTCTCTTAAACTTGGGTGATCTAACTGATGAATTTATAAAATAATACGAAGGTGGTAATAATAAAATGGTGAATAACTCAAAAGTACCAAAAATGCGAGGAATGAGCGAAGAAATAAAGAAGTTATTATCACCGACCACTCACTTTACGATGAAGAAAATTAATTGAGGAGAATTTATTAATGTTTATATGACCCATTGGACCATGCTTAGGATAAATGTACGGAATAATACTCAGAGCGCGGAATTTAAATACTTAGATGCTATGAAAAGATTTAATGGCGAATAGCAGAAATCTGCAAATTTCAAAAATCTTTCAAGAAACTGGTCACCACAAATATCTTATTGGAATTAATGCAAGTCTAGCTTTTTGAAGAAGTTTAAATTTTGCCAAGAAAATACCTGTGCGATTACAGTGCTGAACAATTTAAGTCATAAATAGAATAGGCGCGGTGCTCTGTGAAAAACCTAAGCAGCGAGTAGTTGACTAAGCTTCACATCTTATGTAAGATATATGCGATTTATATCACTTTTATACATAGTATTAATAAATTTTAATAAGTTTTTAAACATAGATCTTCTATCTTTTAGAAATTCATAACTTTTAGAAATAAACCATTAGCTCATTATGATTTCATAAATACAAATATTCTGTAATTTTTCATGCAGTTTTTCTGGTTTAGCAAATATTAAGTGAAATCCACATAAGGATATTAGAAATATAACCATAAGCATAATCATCATAATTATTGCCGTTGTATATCGATACATTTTTTAATGGCAGCATTACTGCAGCAGATACCGAATCATTAGGCTGATAATCAACATGCTACTTGATTATAGTGGTGCTATTTCCTCTGTGAATCAACTAAATTTCAATGGATTTTACAGCATAACGTTCACGAATTATTCGATAAATTAAAGAAATGACAGAAACGGAAAAGAAACATATTGAAAATAAATAAATTTGCAAAAATTATCAAACATTTCTTCGTACAACAAAATAAATGAGCAGTAATAGAACAAACATAACCATAATCACCAAAATCATTCGCCAAATTCACTTTGAAAAATTAAAATTATTGTTAAAATGATATAACTGAATACGAATTCAAAATGCGACCCATATTTGATTACATTTACCATCAGTCACGGCATTCTTCGTACATAATTTCCGACAAATCATGTAAATCTCACCTACAAGTCCTAAAGAATTCAATACCAGATACCAATAAGAGCATTAAACTTAGGTAATAATTACTAAAAAATCATTAATCAGTTATTAATAAAAATCAGCAAAGGCGTTTGATGACCATATTTTCCTTCATCTGGCCACCTATGAGCTTAATTTATTTAATTTATCTAATTTACAAAAACTATTTACAAATTTCAACATGGAAAGAAAAATCTTTAGGAATTTCACCTATAAATAGAATTCATCATGAACTGTTTATGGCCAAAAATTGGTTTTACTTTTGGCGTAGACTTAGAAAACACATCTGAAAGCCACAGATCGACATTGTAATTTAAAAAATATCTTAGAGAATATTTGACGAAAAGAAAATCGGTAAAATTGGCCAAAAATAACAATAAACAAATATGGTAAGAAACAGTCCGTAATTCTACCATTAGAGCACTTTTTTACATTTTCTAAGGAAAAACTGATGAAATATGAAAAATAAGTGAATTTGTCTTCAACAATCAAAAATATCTATACATTGAGCAAGAAATAAAGTCCAACTTATCATTTATCTTTTTCACAGTTCGCTTTGGTAGATATGGAAAATATCGAGAAAAAGCAAAAAATTTTCGAAGTTTATGGAATTTAGCTTTGCCTTAATAATCTTCATTCAAATTTTACAGGCACTACCAATGAAAAGTTCGGATGAATATCAACGAGAAAAATGAAATCAAAAAAAAACCGGAGTTTATAATGTAACCCTCGACAACAAATTGTCAACTAAATTTGAGATGTCACTGCAACATACATCTGGAAAAGTTTTATGTCGATCGAGGGTCGCTTTAAGCACTGTATCTTTCCATTGTTTTGGTATGTTGTTCACACCAAACCGTGCTCCTATAATAAAATAATAAGCCACGAATAAAGCACGCTGGCTCCACTGGATAAGGTTTTTTTCGCCAGAGAATCGATTGAGCATAAAAAGAAAATAAGTTCCCTCAAATTATTACTTATGTATAATATATATTTTTTCTTCTTGAAATAAATATTATATAGGTGTATAGAAGAAAAATCGATGAATTCATAAAAAGAATAAAGAATAGTCAGCGCTCTCTATTTCTAGTTTTAACTTTCTTGGCCATTAGGCAGTTAGAAATTTTTGTCAAGGAAACACTTGGTGATAATCACAGGTGGTTATTAGCATTATCTATATTTATGCATGATAACGAGTTTATTCCTGCCACAGACAAGAGCTGCTGGATTCATTCCGAAATTCTGAATTATTACTATCCTGAAAATAATACGAACAAACCTAATATAGCGCCAGTGATTGCCGCATTCGCGATTGTATCGCCACCAATTTTTAAAGCATTCTCGATACCTTCAGCAAATGATTTTGCATTGGCCAATTGATACAAAGAGCATTGCAATGCGATTCCCAAGTAATCAATCGGTAATTCCTGTAAAATGGTTAAAGAGTGAGGATTACTTTAAGACATGGCATCGAATCTTGGTAACCAGTGAAGGCAACCAAACCAGTTGTCTGAAGAAGTGATAGTAATAAGGGAATATAGATTAAATAATCATATATTTTGTCAAATTAAATGTAAAGCGGATAAAAAGAAACAAGAGAATAATGAAATTTTTTAGGCAAGAATAAAAAAACCTCTCTTATAGAATATTCTGATTCAGGATGTGGATGAGGTTTTACAGCTGAGCCACTTATGTGATCCTTAATCGTTTTGGTGCATGATGTTGCACGAGCAACATTCAAAGCCGTTTCAACATTATTCGAAATAATTAATGATCGTACAGTTGCGATTAGCGTTTGAAGTGCATCAACAACTACTTGATTTGGTTGAAATAATCCAGCAATTAATGGAGCTAAAGATGGACCAACTGTATGAGCCGATGAAATAGCTAAAGGAACGGCAAAAAATAAACATTTATTCGAGAAGTTGCGGCTATTTCTTATGGTCGCATTTGCCACAATCAACTTTTCAACCTAAAAAAGTTTTCCTTTTTTTTAAAATCCAAGAATAGCTTTTTAATTTTTCCAACAACAAATTCGAAAAACAAATCTTTTAGAAATAAAAAAGAGGATCACTTACTTGTTCAGCAGGAAGAAATCTAATTGAACTTATTGGACCATTTATATGAAGTACATTCGCAAGTGTTTCATCAACAATTAATGGTTCAGATTCAGCCCATCGAACAAGATTATTGGCGATATCAGTTAAAGACAACTTTCGAACGCGACTTAATGACCGCACTAGCATCATACATAATTCACTTCCTTCTGATACCTAAAAAGTATCAATAGTACCAATAGAATCACCACTGATTCATTGAAAATTTAATGTCATCAAATTTTTTTCTAATGATGCCCACATTTTTCGCCAGGTTAGATTGCTCGGCAAGGAAATTTTACCAGGCGGTCATTTGGCAATAGAAGTAGGGTGAGTAAGCGAATTTTAAATGGTTAATGCGAATCATTTCCTTATTGCCAGCACATTTCTTGAAAATTTAATATTTGGTAAAATAAATGCGAAATTTGAAAATTTACAATGAATAAATAAACATTTGTTTGCCATCACCCAGATTGCTTTAAGGTGACTTTGATATATTCAAATATCGTGAAGGCAAATTTCCTTTCGTAATTCAAAAGAAGGAAATACCTATGGCCAGTGATTTATGGTCCCAAAAGCCAATAAAATTTTTACATCCCAATTAAATTACGTTAACAAATCGAAATGTTGAAAAAAAATCGCTTACAGAAAAAAATTAACCTGCCCAGGTGGAAAATCAAAAACACCACTTCCGCGAATTGGCAAGAAACCATTTTCATCTCGATCCATAGCAATTTGTTTTCGAATATCGATGGCAAAACGATATTGATAACGAAAACCAATCGCATCGCCGATCAATTGTCCCAACAGCGACCCTACTGACCTTTCCAGTACCAATTTTTTATCACTTTTCTTTTCACAATTCGCCGCAAATATCATCTATTTCTGTTATTAACGATTTGTGCATACAATAAATAGTAGCCTGAAAAATTTTTTAAATCTTAAATTTTAAAAATTCTTAAAAAAAATTTTTTTAAAGATTTCTTCACTTATCCATTAAAAGAATCTTATACACTGAAACAATAATTTATAACATATTCTTTTTTTCTACTAATTAGTTTAATTTTTATCATTCATGTGTCGTCTTTTCAGAGTAATTTGAAGATGAAAGCAAAACAAGTATGAATTCTGGGATTTGTCTTTCAGTAGCAGGCCACAGGACAGAAATCACTGCTGCTTGATTTCAGTTAAAGCAACAAAAGTAACTCGGCAAAATCGCTCCTCCAATAAAATTTATTATATGTAATTTATTATATTACTTTTATTTATAAAAATCTACTAGCAATATTGATTTAAAGCGATGGCTGAAGATTGAAGCTAATTTTCTTTAGATCGAATCCTCATAATGGTTTGTTTTTGACTGACGTTCGATCGAGAAATTTATTTCTTATTTAGTTCTCCTAGTTATTGGAAAACTCATCTCATAAAAAATTGTATCGCTAGTCCAACCAAGAAATTAAATCTATTAATCATTCTCTCTTATGGACTATTTTCAAAAAACGAAGATTTCCTTTAACTTACATCCTACCGTTTCTTGATCCAACAAAAGCAATTTTAATAAATCATTAAAAAATCATGAAAAAATCCATATGATGCTGATGACGTTTATTTCTATCGTCGAATGCCTAATTAAGCGTACTGATGGTCGGCGAGGCTATGCTAATCTCACAAATGATGAACGCTAACCGCTTAATTATTTCTTTCCTGAATCTCTTGTCCAATGACCACTGGAGAAGGGAAAGATAGCAGAACAGTCGTTTCATAGAGGAACACTGCGTTAAATCAAAAGGGGCAATTTACCCATAATTATTTATAAACAGTGAAAGACAATAGAAATAATAGAAAAAAAGTAAAAGAATAACGTCGGCGTTCTATCGCCTGAAGAAATCAACGTTACTATAAATAGCAACTATCGTCATCACTCAGCCACTGTAACATTGATTCAATTCATCTATCATTTAGATGATGAGAGCCGCATGAAAGATAAGAATGCTAAATCCAAGGATACGATGGCTAGCAATAAATGAAAATAGATTCAAGCGAAGAAAATTGTTTTATTTAATTGCAAGGATAAAAAGGCTCAAGAACGCCTTAGCCTTAGAAATCCAGCAATATCCGGGTAATGCTGGCGACTGCCCTATGTTTTTATCGCTAAATAACTCCCTGGCACAAATTTCTGATCCTAATTTAACTAGAAATGTTAATTCTTACTCACCAAGCTGATTGATAGCGAACTAATAAATGCATGAATTGCTGGAAGAAGCTAAAAACTAAATAAATGTAGAAATGCAAAACTAAAATAGAAATTAAAAATAGAATTAACAAAACTAAAATAAAAATAGAACTTTTTTTTTTCACTCTCAAAAACCATCAAAATCAAAAAGAAGCAAATAAAAAGTATAGAAAATATATTTTTATATATATATTTATTATATATTTTTATATTTATAAAATATATATTTTTAAAATAATCAAAATGGCAACAGCAATCAGTCAGCTTTGGAATGGACGAATGGAAGAAAGGACACATTTTGCGATTTTTGTAAAGCTTGTCCCGCTTTCCATAAGATTAGAGCACCTATAATATTAATCTTTAACATTAATGCAAAGAATAAAGCAAAAAGAATGACCTATAATCATCACAGTGATAAATTATTTATTATTATCAAATGCTCAAATAATTGTAAATTTGTAAATAAATGAAAAACAAATACATTTGATTTAAACAAATGATTTTAGAAATGATGGCTCGTTCTATAATTGAACATTAACAAATAACGAGTAACAAACAGTTTATTAAACAATTTTATAAAAATTTATTTTAAAACAGCGCTTTGCGGTGTTGATATTAACGAAAATAATAGTAAAGAAATTATTTAACCAAACAAACAAAAGAAACTCATTGCAAGCTTCACGAAGTTTGCATTTCCGACTATGAACGACATTTTCCTTCGAATAAGGTGCATCTCTTTCTGCTCGTAATAAATCTTTTGTCTGCATTACTATAATCGTTCGCCACAACACTCGCGTGAAAGAGTCAGTTGAAGATAGAAGTAGAAATAGATCTCAGATATCATTTTTAATGACAAGTTTAATATCGTCAAGGACGAATGGAAGAAAGGGCTAGGAATTGAACACATGGCGCTCGACGACATTTGAAATAATCCTCGATTATCTTGATTTTTCGGTTTATAAAGTTCAAAAACGGCAAGGATTCAATAATTTGTCACAGCGAAAATTGAGCAAACTTTCACAATGCTAAACATTTGTATACTTCGCTGTGCAAAGAGAATTTGCAACAATAAAAAATTTTAAAAGAACTGATTTCACATTAACGTAAGAAAATTGCAAATTTATAAATCTTTTTCTTTTAAAAATCCGAGCTCGTCTTTATTTCTATTGTGAATATCAGAAGAAAACCATTTTTGTCAAAACCATTTTATTGTAATAGATTAATACAGTTAGAAAGAAATCAATAGTACAAAAATAAAACCACAGAAATTTTTAAAATTTAGTGGGAAACCAAAAAACACGATTCAATGAACAGATTATTATTTACTGCATATTTAAAATGTTCGATGCTCGTGGCATTTGAAAACGAAGATGAAATTTCCTAAACACCATGAAAATACTATATACTGGTCTTTTACACTTGGTTGGTTATAGATTTATTCCACTAACGTTTTTGCTATAGAATTATTTAGGCATAAGAATAGACATAGGTGAGTTTCATAAACTAATCAAATTAAATTGTGCTAATAATTAAATTAAAATTAATATTAATTAATATAAATACAATTAATTAATCAAACTAAAATTAAAACTGATAAGCCAAGGAAATCTCATATCTCTGAATATGAGAGTTATTATAGAATCAGAAATATCAGAAATTAGAGAATAAGCGACTTTTTTTGAAATTGAAAATTGAAAATGGAAGAAGACTTTTTTTGGTTTTTAGTTTCAATAAGTTTTTTTACGAAGAAGGAAAGTGGAATATTCTTTGAAGATAAAGATTTATCAACTTTTTAATTCCAGAATGATCAAGTTGGAAAAATTTGAAGAAAAATTCATTACCAAGCATTAGGCATAGTTCTCTCACATTTCAAAGGGGAACTACTGGAATTGATTGCAGTCGTAATGAATTATCCTCCAACAATAATATTTTCAGGATTTTATTAATAAAATGTGAATGAAACAACGAAGAATGAAATCGATGAATTTCTCAAGCGTTCGTAAATTAGACCTAATGTATGTTTCAAATTTTCGTGAATGACCATCTGAATTTTCATGAATAATGAAAATGAAAGATAAGCGAAATTAGCAAAAATAGAAATGATATTCACAGGAAAATCAAAAAATTTTTTTTAGTGGAATCATATCGGCAACCAATATTTTCGTTAATAAAATCTTTATTGATCTCAGAAACAATTTAAATATTAGCTATTCGATTTCTTCTATTACCGATGATTTCATCAAATATTTCATATCTCAATAATAATTTCATGAAATTCTATAATATTTAAGAAAAAAGAAGTGGTTAGCGTTCACTATTTCAGGTTAGGCTAATGGCTGATAAAATGCAAAATTTTGGATGAGGGACAACTTAACGATAGAAATATTGCATAATTCGCCATCAATACATAACTTTTTTTAATAAGTTTAATCCTCGTAAGATCTCATTAATAACATTTATAACCCAAATAGAGTCAGGAATTTATATTATCATTATCATTAATTACAGGCAGCCGAATGCATATTTTAGAAATTACTATTTCTAGCATCGATCCTGGCATCTAGCAGGCATAAATCTATTCATTAAAGAATGAGTACTTCTATCCCAAGTTGCTCGTGAATATTGATAAAATTATCTTCGTCTAATAACTATTAAAGGAAGTCCAACAAAAAATGGTGAGCGACCACTTATTATGAGCAATAATTTTGAAAACTGATAAATTTAATCATTCATTCACGAAAAGAAATTCAGGAAGCAATTAAAGGACTTTATTTTTTGACCTTCAAGAGATTAAACTATTAAAAAGGAGTTTGGATGAATTTGCATAATTAATTAAATGATAAATTGAAGACGGTAAATGATTTCAAATTAATATATTAATAACTCATATTTAAATTAATATATTAATAACTTATATTTACTAAATTAATAACTTATTAACTTATAGGTGGAGGAACAGAACGATTTCTTTATTTAAATATTCATCGAAATATATGCTGAATTAGAGCAATAATGGTACTTTGAATCATAAAAAAGCAGGAATTTCATTTAATAACGGTTGAAATCTCCATTGAAGAAAATAAGAAAAAAAATGATCGAATGTCACGTTTTCAAAATTCGTTCTGAATCCATAGAACAATCAAAAAAATGAACAACGCTCACCCCTTATTGATTTGAACCCCTCCTCTGGTTTGTCAGGTCACATAATTTTGCCAAGGAGTCACTTGGCGACAGAAAACAGTTGGGTCATAGTGCCCATAGTGGATTTTTAAAAGGTAGAATCCCAGACCGGAAATAGAACCCAGAACGGGGATTTTGAAACAAGTGAGAACGACAACTCACTGAACCATTCTCTCATTGAACTATCGGTAAAACACTAAAAGATTTTATCAGATGACTACAGTTTCAGGATAATATTGAAGATAATTCATTTTATATTCTTAAATCTAACCTACTTCAATCTGCGATTTCTATCTTCTAACACCCGTTACTATTTCTGATTTGGTTGGCTAGCCGTTCGATAAGATCACTATAGGTAGATTTCCAGGATGAGCTACTCTTAAAAGTGCTTCAAATAAATTGACCCTTATAGCTATATCAGCCGTATTATCAATCGAACCACATTCATAAGAAAAACCTAACAGAG